GATATGGACAGCATGGTGTGAAGTTTATCAATGAGCACTTTGTTCAAACGTGGCCAACTGGTGAGTTTAATTCGACCTACATGCACTTAATTCCCTAGTCTGCCGTAGCATAGGCATAAGCAAAGGTTCTTCTCCGCACATGCCAATACTGTAAGTGTTTGCACTGTATAAGGTCAGGCTATGTTGTATTAAGGCGACACTCTAACATATTGGCTTCACAAGCAACATTTTGTCATCCAAAGCTCCTTCTCATGTGGATCCACCCACTGTAAAGGCGATATCGACAGAGGAAATAGAAGTACAGTGGTCAGCGCCCTCTCAGTCCAACGGAATTCTCAAGCCATACCTTGTGATCTGTTCCGATACTGCTACCTACAGTGACACTCACAGCGCTACAACTAAGGACAACAAGACGACATCAGTTATCGTTGAGCAACTGCGGCCAGGTAGGGAATATCGGTGCTGTGTGGTTGCCAGTACGTATCCAGCAGACAGACAGGATGCGGAAGATTGTGAGAGAAGGTCAGCGTTATCGAATCGCATTCGGACCATGGCCTTGGGTGAGTTGGATTTGGTGGTACTTTCTCTCTCACTCTTTGCTTGGAGGAGTCGGTCCACGATTCTTCAACAGCGTTTTTGCAAATAAATAGGTTGAACAGATACACGGGGTGCTTTGCAAACATGGGGTTACGGATTAATCAATTGAGAGGAAATAACAAATACATCATCTTACACGAATGGCATCAATACCAATTAAAAGATGGGCACTGAATTCAGACAGGAGGAGGTTCTTTTCCTCACTGCTGCCACCATAGCCGCAGAGACATTGTGGTCACACAGGGAGGATGCGATGTCAAAAGATTGGATCCACTCTGCAAAAATAATTCCACGTCGCCGAATGCAAGAAGCTGCAAGGGAAATGTCCTTCTTCCTTTATTAACAATGCTGCAATGTTTAGCTCTGAACATCGTGTCTGAGCATCGTAATTAGCATGAGAAATCAGCATTTTCCATCACGACGCTACATCAAACCCACGTACTTACTGCCGGCGTGACATAATTTTTTCTCAGCTCCCTCCCGCATACCACGTCCCAAAGGCAGGGCCATCTCATCGACGGAAATTCAACTGACTTGGTCTAAGCCCAAGCACCCCAATGGCATCCTCAAACCATACCAAGTTACTTGTTTGGATGTCACACACTGCAGTGCTCCATCAAGGGCCACTACCAGAGACAGCGAGACAACCTCGGTCATATTCGGCAATCTGATCCCGAACACAAAATACCAGTGTCTCATAGTGGCGAGCACGATTCCAGCAATTGGACAGGATCCGTTGGTGTGTGAAAGGCGTTCTGAGCTATCGGCCCCAATTCAAACCATGCCATCAAGTACGTTACAATCGTGACACCTTTCACCTCTTACGGAGTAGAGTTGTGCAGGAATTGTCGTTGTCTACTTACAGCAAAATCGTTTTAAGATTAGAAGGGCGTTTTGAAGGCCTGCTTATTCGCATGACAGCTGGTATAAGGGATGGCATATGGAGTTGAAAGGCCACTCTCCTAATGACTACTCTAGCCATTTCCTTCACCATGAATGCTACACCTACTGCTCTAATGCCAACCTTCACTTTCGTACTCATTCTCCTTCATTAAAATATGCGCAGAATGTGTTTGTTGCAACATTCCCCCATCAAACTCGTCTGGTGGGCAATGGCAGGCATTGGAGAGGAGGGAGAAGAATCTAAAATTGGTATGCTATCTTAGGTCGCCAAGTTATTTCAGAATGCAGTAGATTTTTGAAAATGCATCCCAACACATTAGACCTAACAGTGATGTCATCACGATGCTCGCTTTAAGTCGAAGGTCTTTTGTGCAACAGTTGTATTACCACGTTACACTTGCATCACGTCTTCCCTCCCACCTTTACCTCACTTTCCGCCAGCGCCCTCCCCTGTACAGCGTCTACGGGGAAAAGCTATCTCGTCGACGGAAATTGAGGTGAAGTGGTCTAAGCCCAAACACCCCAATGGCATCCTCAAACCCTACCAAGTTGCCTGCTTCGATACTTCACACGGCAGCACTCCATTAATGACTACCACTACAAACAACGAAACCACCTTTGTAATAGTCGGAAATCTGATCCCGAATAGGGAATATCGGTGCAGCGTGGTGGCCAGCACGATTCCAGCCGTTGGACAGGATCCATTGGAGTGTGAAAGTCGCTCTGAAATGTCGCCACCTATTCGGACCAAGCTGCAACGTAAGTTGAGCAGTGGTGTTACTGTAGCTAACCTCTTATGCACCTAGGCGAGTGAGGTGAAGATTAATGTAATCACACTACTCATGTAGTCAGAGAATGGTAGGCATAATCAATTGCTGCACCGTAAAGACAAACAGAATGAAGTCTCTTTCCGTGCGCCTACTACTGCACACCAGTCTTACCTAATAGAGGAGACGACAGTTGTGAGAATAGACGAGGACACACAAGACCTTGCTGACCAACAGGG